GCCCCAACTCCCCAATCGGCCCTGCTCTGAGCCTGACCAGGGGCTGCACCTAGGGATTGGGCGTGCCCTCTGCCACCCGGGAGCAGGCCTAAGCCAGCAGGTCGTTATCTCCCGAGGGGTCCCAGACTGCGAGAGGGCACAGGCGGGGCTGGGGGGCCCCCCCCCCCCCCCGAGTGCACAAATTTTTGTGCACCGGGCCTCTAGTTTTATAAATATAGACCTTTCTTGGCTACTTCCAGTTCCCTTGTCTTACAGAAATATACCTGTTGCTGCTTCCTTGTCTTATGTAAATGCAACTGTTGCTGCTCCCTTGTCTTATGGAGATGTAACTGCACCTGGCTTCCTTGTGTTAAGGAAAATGTACCTTCTCCCCTTCCGTAGCCCTATCTATGTGTGTTTTTTCCATGGACCCCAATTCTAAAAATTCCCTAAACCTGCCTATGTTCACCTAAAATTCCTGTTTCAAAAGGTGATAATGTGGGGTGAAATTCAAACTGAACATAAATGGAAAGAGCTGTGAGAATGTTGACACTAATGCAGTTCAAGAGGCTGATATGCAGCCACAACTTGGTGAAGGCACACTTACCAACATAAATGAGGAAAGTGGCTGTGACAAAGATGATATCCCAGCCTGGCTGGTTTGGCTCAGGGGATAGAGTATCTGCACACAGACTGAAGGGTCACAGGTTCGATTCTGGTTAAGGACATGTACCTCAGTTACAGGCTTGATCCCCGGCCCCAATGGATGTGTCTCTCTCACATCAATGTTTCTCTGTCTCTCCTCTCCCCTTCTCTCTAAAAATCAATGGAAAATATATCCTTGAGAATCCACAACAAAAAGATATCCCAGGGGAGGTGAAACTGGTGTAAAACTTCCTATTAAAAGGACAGAGATCAAAAGAATGAGAATACAAGCCACAGACTAGGAGAAAATATTTGCAAGACCTATCTGATAAAGGACAATTATCTAAAATATACCAAGAACTCTTAAAGGTCAACAATAAAATGAATAACCCAATTACAAAATGGACAAAAGACCTGAGCAGACACCTCATCAAAGATATACAGATGACAAATAAGCATATGAAAAGATGCTCAATATCATATATATCTGGGGAATTGCAAACAAAAACGAGGTACCAATACACACCTGTTAGAATGGCAAAAATCCAAAACACTGATAACACCAAATGCTGGCAAGGATGTGGAGCAACAGGAACTTTCATTCACTGCTGATAGGAATGCAAAATGGCATAGAGATTGCTTGGCCATTGCTTACAAAACTAAACATACTCTTACCATATGATCCAGAAATTGCACCCTTTGATATTTACTCAAAAGAGCTGAAAACTTATGTCAACACAAAAACTTGCACATAGATTTTTGTGGCAGCTTTATTGATAATTCCCAAATTTGGAAGCAACCAAGGTGTCCATAAGTAGGTGATTGAATAAATGGTGGCACATCCAAACAAGGGAATATTATCCAGCACCAAGAAAAAATGAGCCATCAAGCCTTTACGGGAGGAAACATAAATGCACATTAGGAAGTGAAAGAAGCCAACCAAAAATGACTGCATGCTGGCGCTCTCCCTTTCTGAGCACACCTGCGCCTTTCCCTTCCCACTTTGTCCCTCCAGGCCTGTTACCTTTGCCTCTCTCTCTAAGCTCCAAGGGCCCTTCTTCTGCCTCTGTCACTTGTTTCCTGAGCCTACACAGCCCAGTTGGCTCATTTCTACTACCTCTGTAACTTTCTAAATAAACTTTCTCTTAAAATTTGGGAAAAACAAACAACAAAATAAAATGACTGCATACTATATGATTCCAGCTACTTAATATTCTGGAAAAGGCAAAACTATGAAGACAGTGAAAAGATCAATGGTTTTCAGGGGCTAAGGGTGACGAGGGATGGATAGGTGGGGTACTGAGGATTTTCAGAACAGTGAAACTGTTCTGTATAGTACTTTAATAGTGGATTTCTTTGTCAAACCATCAAATGTACAATGCCAAGACTGAACCTTAATATAAACTATGGTCTTTGGGCGATTATGATGTGTCAATGTAGATTCATGTATCGAAACTGATACACCACTGTGGTACTAGGTGTTGGTAGTGGGGGAAGCTGTGCCTTTGTTGGGGAAGGGGTATATGGTAACTGTATTTTCTGCTCAATTTTGCTCTGAACCTAAAACTCCTCTAA